AGTTCAGTACTGGGATCAGGAAGTAGTGAGTACCTTGCTGGTCCAGGATGTGTCTGCTGTAGTTCAGGTAGCCCCGCAGCAAGTCAGGACACTCCTGCTCCAGGTAGGCCTTGGCCCGATGCACGTAGACTTCCTCTGCCTCCCACTTCTTCTTGGTGTTCCAGGCTGCTGGGTCTAAGGGGACCCAGGTTGGGATTTCTCTGTTGAATTCAATGAAGTCCTTTCCATCATAGGCAGATTTCCAGAATGCTCCACTGCTGATGTTATTGTGGACCTCACAACCCAACCTTTCCTGTAGGATGTGAGACCCTGAAGCCTCCCCGAAACCCAGAGGGAGGCAGTTAGTCTGGTGCCAACTACATCTGGATGACTCTTCCTCCTGCACACCTTTCAACTCTACAGGAAGAAATGTTTCTGAATTCTAAGCACACAGTCCCTCCATCTTGACAAATAGTTTACTACCTGGCATAGAGCAGACAGAGAGGCACAAACTCCAGTTTGGTGTTTCAGGACTGTCTGAGGTGAGACCCGTTCTTTCTAGCCAGGGAACTTGAGAGACTTGTAGAATACAGTCAGACTTCTACCCATTTGCAGCGTCTCATCTAATGAATGTGTGTGTTTGAATTTATGGCAAGCGCTGAGGACCCTGCCACAGCCACACCGAAGTGCATTATGAAATTCAATAGGTTTTTAATTGTTTCTTACAGATTACAGCAATCTCTTCTTAACTGTGATGTCTAGGCGTTCATATCCTCACTTGAGTAAACCTAATGTGACCACTGCCTTTGCCCTTTTGGTTTGCTATCTTTATTCCAAACTTTTGAAGTCCTAACACCTTATCCTATTAGCAACAACTCTCAGAAATGGACCTTCTTCAGGCAGGGTGACACAACTTATTCTTCTTCTTTTTTTTTGAGACAGAGTCTCACTATGTTGCCCTCAGTAGAGTGGTGTGGTGTCATAGTTCATAGCAACCTCCAACTCTTGGGCTCAAGTGATTCTCTTGTCTCAGCCTCCCAAGTAGCTGGGACTACAGGCACCCACCACAATGCCTGGCTATTTTTTTTAAGAGATGGGGTCTTGCTTTTGCTGAGGTTGGTCTCAAACCTCTGAGCTCATAACAGTCCACCTGCCTGGTCTCCCAGCTTGCTAGGATTACAGGTGTGAGCCACTGCACTGGGCCACAGCTTCTTCATTGTGATTGTGAAAGGAGGGTTTATCTAATGCAGTCAGTACCACTGGCACAGGCTCTGATAGCTCTCAAGCCTTGTGGGCTCAAATCCCAGATCTCTCCCCACGCCCACCTGGCTTGTTTCATGACCTTGAGCCAATAACCTCTCTGTACTTCTCTACTTGTCCGTGAAATGCCAATAGCAAAGTGCCAATTTGGACAATGTGGAGGGTTATTGTGAGCATTTATTATGTCAATGCATGAGCCTGGCACATTATAAGTGCTGAATGTCAGCTCCTGTTAATTTCTAATGCTCTTTCTGTGTTTCTTCTTCCTCTTTTTTTTTAGACAGAGTCTCAGTCTGTCATAGCTTGCAGCAACCTCAAACTCTTAGGCTCAAGTGCTTCTCCTGCCCCAGCCTCCTGAGTAGGTGGGACTACAGGTGCCCACCACTATGCCCGGCTAGTTTTTCTATTGTTAGTAGAGATGGGGTTTCACTTTTGCTCATGCTGGCCTCAACCTCCTGAGCTCAAGTGATCCCCCTGCCTTGGCCTCCTAGAGTGCTGGGATTACAGGCATAAGCCAACCACTGGGCCTTCTTCTTTTTCTTTACTCATAACTATTCACTTTGACATTTCTATTCCAGTCAATGAAAGATTCCTCCAGGGTTCTTACTGAGCACCTGTGGCCTCTCCTCCCCAATTTTGGACACACCACCCAGGCCACTTTCCTTAGCATGACTTCCCATTCCGCATCCTCCAGATGCCTACAGATCTTTTGTGTCCTTTTGGAAATCTTCAGATTCCTTGTAGCTCTTGGCATTTTGAACACACACCCTATAGTAATTCAACATCTATTGTCCACCAGGCCTATAGTAATTCAACATCTGTTGTCTACCAGACTGGCTGCAGGAGTCTGGGGGAGGCAGGAGTGTTTTTAGGAGAAAGAGTGCCAGGCTAGGGACACAGGGATAGGACTCTGATGGCTCTACCTCAGCTCTTCATACCATGTGAGCATGACCTCTCTCAGGTCTATTCCCTGTGGCAGGAACATCTTTATGGTTCCACATAACTGTAGTGGTCCATGGTTTTGAATCCACCACTCACTGAGCTCCTGGTATGGGCTAGGGTTTGCAATAGCTAGTTTTTCTATATTCATGCAACACATTGCAATTGAGCAAATATCACTGGCTGTTCTTTGTCCTACGTGGTGGGATACAAGGGATATGGAGACGTCCTCCTGGAGCAGATACAGAGAAGTATTACAGTATCTCTTGGAGGTAGGTCCCAATCCTTCTTTTTTTGCAGATTTAGACCTGATAAGGGACCTGCTTACTGTCAACAGCCATTCACCAGAGGTTGATCATGCGAACCCAGGTGTGACTGATGCCAAGGTTGCCTCACTCTGCACCCAACACCCCTAGACAGGGGTGAGTCTGAGTCCTCCAGTAGGATCTGCCTCAGCAATGAGATGTGGAGGAGATAAGTCAGAGTTACCTGGATAATATGTGACTCTGGCATCTGTCCTGGTGTTAGCTGAGGCCTACAATGAGGGGCAGGGGAGACCAGAGCAGGAGGAAGAAGGTGCTGTGGGTGGGAGAGGCACATGTGTCTATGTATCTTTCCTTGGGCCTCCTGTTCTTTGTTTGGACAGGGACAATTTCCCTCCCACGGATCCCTTTCCACACTACTCACACTTGTGGGGCTGTCTGTGAGCTAAGACGCTCTGCCCAGCCATCTGTTTTGTACTGACCATTGCTGTCGTTGTAAAAGGCCATGATGTCTTCCAGGGTGTCCATGAAGATGGCCTCTCTGGCCCGCTGAAGCTGGCTTTCCTCCTCCCAATTCTCCATTTCTTCTATGTCTTTCCATGGTCCCTGGGGCTTTGCCTTCCTGTCTTTACTATTGTAGTTAAGGAATTCTTTATCATTGAGGAAGCCAGTGGCCTGAAACCTGGGGGAGTCTTCACTTGGCATGGACTGCCCAATGTATAGATAGGTCAGGGTATAATTACCTGAAAAAGAGGAGAAGACTCTGTGGAGTGGTGTCCTCACAAGGAAGTCCCACTGTGCAGAGGGACAAGTGGGAAGACTTGGCCGCTGGGTTTCTTTCTTTGCAGCTCTCTCTACCCTGCAGTTAGCCTCACATCACCAGAGGCTCACTCAAGAGAACAAGCTGTTTCAGTTTGAGGGATGATATTTCAGAGACCATTCTGTGTCTTCACTATGTTGTTTTCTTTTCTCTGCTTGGCACATAAGAAGATAATATTTCTTTGCCTATTTGTACATATATTGGGACCATGTAATTGTGTTTTGGCTGAACAGAATGTGAGTGGAAGGGATGTCCTTCTTCTAATGCAAGGTCTTAGGAGCTGGCTTGGTCCCTCCTTACATAGTGACCGTAGGAATTACAGGACACAGGATAAAATAGAATGGTCATAGGATGCAAACAGCCTGGATCCCTGAGTCACCCTGTGGAAAGGAGCTTATCTGCACTGACCTTGACATGAGCAAGAAATAAACAGTGTTATTCAAACCTGATCAATACATAAGGTTGGAAGGTGGAGGAGGAGAATACATTAGAAAACTCAAGAAAAGACTCAGAATGGATTAGCATGGGTTAAGACTAAGTTGATCTTAGAATTCCCAGAGTTGTACCTTGCATTTTCGTACAAGATAGGAACTGGGAGAGAGAGATATTTCCCTAAATAGTTCTATAACTAATTTATGATATAACTTACCTGGGTTTTACTAATTTTGGTTTTAATGTGGTGGATTCCTGGTTCAAGTAGTAAGTGCTCTTAAATGTGTGTGAGCTGAGTTAGATTTCCCAGGATACAAATTATTATCGTATACCTGGGAATCCCAGCTGCCTTTCCTTGGATGTCAATTATTATTGCGTACCCGGGAATCCCAGCTGCATCAAGGCCCTCCTCCCAGCCATTTGTCCTGTTCTTCCCCTTCCTTCCAAGCTCTCCAATATCCCCCCTTACCTCCCTACTCACAAGGTTGGGTCTTCTCAGGGACTGCAGGACAAAGAAGGAGCAGTAGAAGCAGCAAGACAGGCACGGTTGTAGCCATTGTGCCTGGTTGGAAAGTTCTGAGGTTCTGGGAGGGAAACACAGGTCTTTTTCTGGGTCCTGGGGCCCTGCCCAGGGGAGGAGAATCTACAGGCCAATGGGAATGCCAGAACTGGCTCCTCCCCTGACAATGAGGAGAGAGGACACAGGAACCAGACAGGGCAGCAGTTGTGGTCAGTGAATCTACAGAGAGAGTCTGCAGGTTGAGAGTTGAGATAGCTAGTTTTGGGACTGGGGCTTTGTGTATCTCTTGGGGAGAGGGATGACGGTGGGCTGGAGGTGTGTGTGGCAGAGGACAGATGCCTGGGATATGTGTCATCTTTTCTGTTTATTATGACATTCTGTGGGAGAAGGGATTTGGATGTAGTCAGGTTATATTTCATCCTTCTTTTCTAGAGAAACTCTCCAATTCTCCATTTCTTCCACATCTTCCCGTGGTCCCTGGGGCTTTGCCTTCCATGTCCAGAGCCTGAACATGAGTAGATCCCAGCTGGTGTGGGATCATGACTCTTTCATACCCTACTCTGCCAGAGCTCTATCTGGAGGACATTCACATGTGTCCCTCCCAGCCTTTGCATGCTTTGGGGGAATCTCATCCTTCCATCACAGAGGAAGAAATAGTAATATTTCCCCTTTTGCAGCTTCTCTCGCAATAATAGAAGGACCAGGTGTGCATATGGTGTGGGTTGAGCAAGTAGGTGCTCCTCTCCTGGGGAAACAGCCACAGTGGACAGTCTTTTCTGTTGACAACTGACAATCTGCAACTGCTAGCTTCTTGGAGCAGCAGAACAGCAGTAGTCATAGGGATGTCCTGTGTCCAATCTGCAGTGGTGTCATTAGTCCTCACTGTGGCATCTGTGCCCCCTGCTGGCAGCTGCAGTGTGTTTCCAGCACTAGCTGTGGGTTGTGGTTTTGACTGTGCTTCTACCTAATTCTGAGGCTGAGCTGTTCATCCTCAGTATGGACTCTACGAGCCAATCAATAGCTGCATTTATTTTCTGCTTATCAGATTTATATTGTATTTCTAGTGACGAATGATCTTGAGCGATACAGATACACATATTGGTACAAAGAGTGTTTTCAGGCAGTAGGTTTCAGGAAAATCATGGCAACCTGAGAGGGGTTACAGGGCCAGATTGTGGCTGAAGGGAGTGAAAATACAGATGTCTTGTGGATTCTTGCAGGTCTGGTGTGCAGTGGTGGGTAAAACAACTGCTAAGTATTGTTTTGTGGTCAACTAGAATAAAATTTTCATTGAAGGCAACAATTTAAGTCCCCAGTGGCTGGTACCATAAAGCAGATTGAAGAACATGAGGAAACCAAGGTTTAATGGCTGGGAAGTTTGAGTGGTAGAAAGCTTAAAGAAAAAGAGAATAAACTCAAATACAGAAATCAGTGACTCATGGCACAATTTGAAAATTGGGCAATTTCTATTTTATTATTATTTAGTTGCCTGGATGAAACAAATCTCCAACTCCAAAAATGTCCAATGATTATGATCAGTGCCAAATGCAATGGCTTATGCTTATCATCCCAGTGCTTAGGAGTCCAGGTGGGAGGATTGCTTGAGGCCAGGAATTTGAGACCAGCCTGGCCAATATAGTAAGACCTGTATGAGAAAATAAAAAAATTAGCAAATAGTGACTCATGTCTGTAGTCCTAGCCACTTGAGAAGCTGAGGTGGGATGATCAGAAATTTGAGCACAGCCTCAGAAAAATAGCAAGACCTAATCTTCAAATAACAAAAACAAAAAACAAAACAAACAAACCCCCCTAATAACAAAAAATTCTATTTTGTAACCTAATACCAAAACCTAATAAATCTAATAGCAAAATGCAATTCAGGTATTCTTACCAATCTTGTTGGACTGGTACTGATGGTCAATGTCAACTAATAAGAGCTTCACAGGAGAGAGAACTCCACTACAGAAAGGCATTGGAAAAGGTGTCATGGGAGAAGCTTTGGCTGAGCAGCACATGGAGCAAGGATAGAATTTCTACTGGCAAATTGGGTGAAATTTCCTAAGGACAGGGATGGTGTCTGTCCTGTTCCTTTCTCTGTCCCCAGTGCTTGGCAGAAAGAAGACAGTTGATAATTGCTAATGAAAATGGACTGAAGGGTGAATCAGCAAAGAGAAAAAGAGATCAGACACTTGTGAGGGTTACTGAGGCCAACTGAGAGAACTGATGAAGACAGTTGAGGGTTGGAGAAGGTGGGGATGATAAATGCAGGAGAGAGGTCAAAATCAGATTGTGGAAGGCTCCAGTCAGTGGTCACGTCCAGTGTCATTCAATGAATGGGGAAACATTCTGTGATTGTGTCCTTTCCTTGCAGCTGGTGTTCTCTGGCTGCCCCATTCATCTAGGTCAGTGGTTCTCTACTTTTCATTCCATCTACTCCTTTGCCAATCATTCTCAAGATCATTTTTAATGCACACAAAGAAGCTCATAGGATACAGAGGAAGCCAGTTATCTGGAAACTAGGTCTTTTCATCCACCTTTTTGGATGATGGGCTGTTTGCAGAGGGTTCCCCCAAGTACAGAGTAACAGGCTATTCTAAAGTGAATGGCGAATTATTTATTTATTTGTGAATGGCAAATTATTAAAGGAGATAATTTGTGATAAAGAGACTCTCTATCCTGGGGCCTTTTCAAATTGCACTTGGAGTTGGTTGATCCCGTCTGCAGGAGAATATGTTGGTGAGTAGAAGATAACCATAGAAGGACCCACATGTGGTACTTTGGACCCCTTAATTGTCCCTGGTGCTCCCAGTGGAGGCCCATGGCCCAGTCCCCTGCCAGGTTACCTCTTTTGTTCTGTCAGAAACCTTTTGATTTGTTCTTGGCAATTTGTCTTAGGCCTTCCCATTTCCTCTGATATCTGACTTCCTCCAGGAAGTTTTATCTTGAGTCTGAGTGGTTCTGGGCCCCTGTCCTCCTCCCACACCTGGTCACGACTTGGGTCTTCTGAACTTTCCTGCCCTCTGTCCCCCCGTCCATATCTCCTGTTGTAGATGAGGCCATGTCTCATCTTCCTTAGCCCTGAACTGCTTGTGTGGACTTTAGGTTTCCTTGTTGATCTGAAAATGTTGATCCTTTATGTTTTATTTGTAGATGGTGTCGTCATATATTGAAATATCGACTGCTATATTTTTCCATCTTGACTGTCTTTTCTTCTCTGGGGCTCTCTACTATTCAAATAGGGCTTTATGTGGATTTCATGTAATTTGTCACCTTTGTTTTTCAAATTGGAGTAGAAGCATTAAAAATGTGGCATAGCCTTCAAATTTAGGCTTTCGAGAAAGATAAGATAGTTGACTCAGAATTCTGAAGGCTGGGAATGGTTTCTTTTGGGAACTCAGCTGGGAGGACTGATTTTGGAATAATCCAGAGTTGGGGGCTGAGGATAAAAGGTATATAGGCAATTCTTATCCCTCAAGAGAGGAAAAACACAGTCATAGGCAGGCGAGGCTTCATAAAATAGGTGTAAAGCTCTGCTAGGTCTTTTGGGATTGAAACTGAAAACTGTGTGTGACAGTGGCTGATTCACTTGAATAAACACACTCAAAGGGATTTTAAGGGAGTCTGAGAACCTCAGGGCCAGTTCCTTCTTCCTTGAGTTGTGCCCTAGAGGGCCGAGCTGTTCTCAAATAAGCTCTCGCGGAGTGTGGGTCCAGGCCAACATGCTATGGGGAATGTTGAGCAGTTGGAGTGAACAGCGATGTCTCACTGGGTGTGAGGGAGCTCTGGGGAAACTGAGGCACAGAAGAGGCTTGTGTTTGGGTTAAAGAGACTGCAGAGGTCTGAGTGGTTCTGGGTCCTTCTCCACCTCCCCCACACCTGGCCAGGAATCTGGACTTTGAGATTTTGTCCCCCTAGTGCACCCTCCCCCATCTCTCCTTTCATGGGTCAGTCTATATCCTGTCGTGTGCTACTCTTTATTCATTCAAAGCATAAGAAGTTGCTTTGAAATATTCACTGGCTGGTTATTTCCTTCTGAGTTATTTGGTTTTCTTCCCTGACTAAATTGAATATGCCTATCGGACACAGCATTTTGATATATTGCCCACTCAATACTATGTAAGAAAAAAATACTAATATGAGAGAGAATTAGGGACCATGGGGCTTATCCAGTTCAATTTCCCCTGGAAAAGTTTGGAATTAGGAAAGAATCACAAATTGTGTCCTCTTCTCTGGGTTTCAAGAGGGACTAATGATGTATTTTTAGTGGGTTAAGTAGGATTCTGAGCAACATGACTCTGAGCCTGACAGCCCCCCTCCTCCCCTTTTGTTGGGTCATCTATCCTCTGTGTGTCTGCTCCTCAGGGTTCCTTGGTCCTTGTCTTCCTCCATGTGGGTAAGTAGAATATAAAAACATGAACACTTAGTCCAGGTGGCAGGTGATTCCTTGGCAAGCATCTCAGGGCACTTCTCCTCCAGGCAAGCCTCAGCCCTCTTCTCTTGGATGCTCTCTGCTTCCCACTTTTGCTTGGGGCCCAAGGCTTCTGGGTCCAAGAGGACTCAAGCTGGGATTTCCTTGTTGCATTTGACAAAGTCCTGTACCAGGTAGATAGGTGTACCTGCAGAATGTTACTGTACTAGGCCATTTTGTGTTGCTAAAAAAGAATACCTGAGAGTCGGTAATTTAAAAAGAAAAGAGATTTGTTTAGCTCATGGTCCTGTGGGCTGAGAAGTTGAAGGGTCTGACTCTGGCTTTTGGCAAAGGCTTCCCTGTTGCGAGACAACATGGTACAGAAGGTCAAAGGGGATAAAGACGTGTGCAAAGAGGGAAGAAAACCTGAGGGGCTTCCTGGCTTTAGAACAACCCTCTTACTCCAAAGAACTTATTCTGTCTCTCGAGAATAGCACCAAGCCATTCATGAGCCATCTGTCCTCCCGGCAGATTTTCTCAACAATATTTTACAATCCTCCTAATGGTTTTAAAAATTCTGCTTTGAGGACCAGCACAGTAGCTCTGGCCTATAATCCTGGCATTTTGGGAGGCCAAAGTAGGTGGATTACCTAAGCTTTGGA